ACACACACACATATATACACATATATGTGTGTGTGTGTATATGTGTTGTAGCTCTATGCTACACATGAGTTTCTCAATCAAAATGCTGGGTGAAGAAGATCTAAAGAACACCCATATCTATGAAAAACCCACTGCTAACAGTCATGCTTAATGCAGAATGACTGAATACTTCTCCCTAATATCAGGAGCAAGACAGAGACGTCTGCTCATGCCACTTATATTCACCCTTGTCCTAGAAATTCCAGCTGGAGCAATTAGTCAAGGAAAAGAAATAAAAGGCACGCAGAATGGAAAGAAAGAAAGAAACTATCTCTGTTTTCAGATGACGTCATCTTGAATATGAAAAATCCTAAGGAGTCCACTAAAAAACTTTTTGAACTAATAAATAAGTTCAGCTCAGCGATTTGGCAGGATTCAAGATCAATATACAACATCAACTGTATTTTTATATACTAATAATGAACCACCTGAAAAGAAAATTAAGAAAATTTAAGAGAATAAACTACATAGGCATAAATTTAACAAAAGATGTACATGACTAAGACACTAAAAACCACAAAATTACAAAAGTAGATGACTGGTACACTGAAAGGAATTAAAGAAGATCTAAATCAATGGAAAGACATCCCATGTTCAGGGATCGAAAGACAATATTGTTAAGATGGCAATACTCCCAGATTTAATATACAGCTTCAATGCAACCCACATCAAAATCCCAGCCAGTTTCTTTGTAGAAATTGATGAACTGGTCCTAAAATTCATATGGAAATTCAAGAAACTCAGAATAGCCAAAACCATCTTGAAAAAGAACAAAGTTGGAGAGCTCACACTTGCCAATTTCAAAGCTTACTACAATGCTACAGCTATCAAGACAGTAGTAGTATTGGTATAAGGATAGACATACAGATCAATTGGAATATTGATCTCAGTGACAGCCCAGAAATAAACAAGAGTGCCAAAACCACTTAATGGGGAGTAGTCTTTTCAACAAATAGTACTGGGGCAATTGGATATCCACATGCAAAAGAATGACATTAGACCCCTACCTCACATCATATGCAAAAAAAAAAAAACCAACATAAAATGGATCTAAGACCTAATATGAGAAATAAAACTCTGAGAAGAAACCAAAGAAATACATCTTCAGGACCATGAAGTAAAGAATGGTTTCTTAGATACCAAAAGCATCAGCAACCAAAGAAAAAAGATAAGTTGGATTTTCTAAAATTAAAGACTTTTGTGCTTCAAAGGGTGCTATCAAGAAAGTAAAAAGGCAAAAATAATAATAATAATAAATAAAAAGGAAACCCAAAGAATAAAAAACAGTATTAACAAATAATTTATTTGACAAAGGACTTGTATTCAGAATATGGAAAGAACTCTTAAAACTAAACAATGAAAATAAAATTCAATTTTAAAACAGGACACAGATTTGGATAGACATTTCTCCAAAGAAGATATATAAATGGCAAAAAAAAAAACCATAAAAAGATATTCAACTATAAAATTAACCATGAAATCAAAACCATATCATTCAAATCAAAACCACAATGAGAAACCATTCCATATCCACAAGGAATATAATAAAAAAAATTAGAAAATTACAAGTGTTAACAAATGTATGGAGAAATGGGAACCCTCATACATTGCTGGTGAGAATGTAAAATGGTGCAGTCACTTTGGAAAAACAGTTGGACCATTTCTCAAAATGCAATTCCATTCCTAGGTATATATATAAGACAAACGAAAACATATGTCCACACAAAAATTAGTGCACAAATATTCATAGCAGCATTATTCATAATAGCCAAACAGGGAGAAACAATCCAAATAAATGCCCATCATCAACTAATGAATAGACAAAATGTGGTATATTCATACAGTGAAATGATATTTGGCTATAAAATGAAATGTATTGATACTAAGTGCTGATATAAGATACTAAGGGGAAGAAGCCAATCACAAAAGACTACATATATCATTCCATTTATGTGAAATGTACAGAATAGGTAAAGCCATAGAGACAGAAAGTAGATTAGAGGCTGCCTGGAGCTGAGGGCAAGAAGGGGTAATGGAGAATGACTGGTAATCGGGGTTTCTTTTGGTGGGATATTAAAATGTTCTAAAATCTGGTTGTGGTGATGATTGCACAAATCTGAGACTATACTAAAAAACAAGGAACTGTACACTTCAATGGGTGAATTTTATGGTTTGTGAAATATATGTCAATCAAGCTGCACAAGAAAATAAAAAGCAAGCACAAACACCTAATATATGAGTTCCCTTTATATGAAGGCAAACTTAATCTATAGTATTTAGGTATGAATAGTTATGTCTTAAAAGGATAACACAAAAAAAAACAACAAAAA